CAAGTTTCGATACTCGTGGTGGAAAGATGACGGATAACCCATTGTGTAATTTTGCTTAACAGCAACTGAATGCCATAAAATTACAAATAACATTCGGCCGGTTAGAAGTAAACTAATTATTTACCCCACTATTAAATTATAAAATAATATTTTGCTGAAATAAACATATATATATACTTGTTATTTTTTTAACAACACTTTTTCTCTGGGAGTATTTGCAGTAATTTAGTACTCCCGAGGGGCAACCTCTTAATATATACATAGCTTTATATTTGTTTTGGTTTTTTTTTTTCTTAGAAGCAATTTCTAGTTTTTATATTCCAGTACGATGTAATTTGTAATTCTTTTAAAATCATAAATGCTGCCATAATTTTCAAGTGTCTTAACATGCAGCTTATAATTGACAAATCATGTCATAAAGGTTTGGGTTAATTGTTGTTAAGGGAAAAGCTACACAATGTGTTTTGTGTATTCTGTTGGATCGAAACCCGAATTTTAAAACTTCAAGCCTGCAGACTTTCTACTGAGCAACTGGGGGGGGGGGGGCACGCCATAAAGAAACATTTTTGTGTATTATCTTCTAGACTGACGTTCTTGTGATCTTTGAATGACCTTTCTATGTTTTATATGCTGATACATCAACCATAATTTGCTGTTTGTTTATATGTACTTGTCCATGTTTACCAACATTGTTTTGGTCATAAATTAAACGTAAGCTTTCACGCGCACACAGTAAAATAGTTATAGTAATTCGTCACAAATCGTATAAATGATAAGTGTATTGCTCCACGTTATATTAGTAAAATTTAGAATTTCCGTTATCAGAAAGGTGTTTCCTGCAGAAATGTCTTTCTAAAAGTATGTTTTACTTACGAAATACTGTATTGATTTTCCCATTTAACTAAACACAAGTTAAAGTTTATTTGAAAATAAAACAAGTTTTGAATTATCGGTAAGCACTAGGTTTTCGTAGCCTAATTGTTAATATTCTAAGCATCTTTTCTCATACCCATTTCCCGATTTGGAACCTAGTCATACTAGTCAAGTTATTATACTGTAGCTGCACAAAGAACTTATACAACCGTGTAATTGTGCACGCGTTCTGCTGAAGAAATAACAGCTTTTCAGACCGAAAAATTTTACTAATGCTCTTGTTGTTTGTTATTAAGCACAAAGCTCTCTATACTCTGCCCACCACGGGTATTGAAACTGGGCCACTGGGGGGGGGGGGGGGGGGTAGGTGGGGGTTTACTTAACTAACTTATTAGAAAGAACGATAATTAGTAACAAACTAAAATAAAAAGGTAAAGGTAA